CCCCCCCCCCCCCCCCCCCCCCGGCCATATGCAAGCTACTTCTGTTTTAGGGAAACTATCAGCAATATATTAACTTTTCCAAAGACTGGGTAAGATTTAATATTCTTTAATCCCCGCCCCTCCACCCCTGCCATTTTCTCTTAGAAAAGGCATACTAGGGTTTTGTACCAGGTGGTGGTCATTGAAAAGTCTAATGTAATGTCAGTAATGTTCATGAATTTGTTTTAATGTGGAAGGTCTATCTCCAATTCAAAATGTAAACAGAAAAATTTTTTATAAATACAGTTGGTACTTTAAAAGAGGCCATTAATAGGCCACGTATATGACTTATCACTGCTGGAAAAACAATTTAATATATGCCTTAATTAAAAGAATATTGAGCATGCCACTTCTGTATATAAAATACAACATTATAAACTCCACTGAATCTTTTGTATTTCAAACGTCATGTCAGTGATTCATCTGCATGGGAACGTCACCCATGAAATTATAGAATTCAGCTTCATCTAGCTTTTATTGTAGTACATAATAACATATAGTACAGTTATTAAAAGTTACATCAGATCTTAAACAATCATGGCTGTAATCAAGGGGACACCACAGAATATGAACACTTTATTTCCTATTGGAAAGCAAAAATTAAGGACTAAAGTAGATTTTTAACTGGAAATTCTGAATAATAAAAACCAAAGGCTTGTCACTTTTTAATTTTTTTCTGGCGTTCCAGAGTGCTGTGGTGTAGTGCTTCTTAAGTTAAGGTGTCTGTGAGAATCACCTGATTTGTAACCCTCACCAACCTGAATTAAAATCCATGGGTATGGGGGGCTAGGAAAGCTGTACTTTTTAACAATTTTCCTAGTTGATTCTGATATATTCTAAAATTTGAGAATCACTGTTATTTGGAAAGTATTAACCCTACAATTTTAGAATTTTTGTTTATTTTTTCTGAATGTTATGGGTTTTTCCCTTCCTTTGTGTTTTTTTCTGTTGTTGTTGTTAGCAACCTTTCCCCTTGATCTCACAAAAACTCGACTCCAAATGCAAGGAGAAGCTGCTCTTGCTAGGTTGGGAGACAGTGCAAGAGAATCTGCCCCATATAGGGGCATGGTGCGCACAGCCCTAGGCATCATCGAAGAGGAAGGCTTTCTAAAGCTTTGGCAAGGAGTGACACCCGCCATTTACAGGCACATAGGTATTTATCTTGATTCTACCTGGTAAGTTTGTTATGAGTTCTGTAAAAATTAGCTATTTTTGTGTGTGTGTGATATAATAAATGAATATATAGTCTCTTAAGAAGAAAAAAAATAGCTATCAATTGTTAGTAAGGAGTTATTGTGCTAAATTTTTAGAAATGCATACTGAAATATTAGGGATGAGCTGTCATGATGTCTGTATAGTACTTTAAGCAGAAAAACAAAAGAAGCAAATATGGCTAAAATGTTAGCAATTGATAAATCTCAATGGTAGATATAGAGGGAGTTACGTATGGGTATTATTTTCTCTGTTTTTCTGTATGTTTGTAAAGTTTTCTGATAAAAAGTTTTTTAAACGTATAAGAAGGGAAAAATGAATAATTGATGCCATTTTTCTCCACTTCAAAAACTTTAAACACAGGACTTAAATTTTTTAAATTCTTTGAAAATTAAAATATATTTAAAAAGTTTTCTGATAAAAAGTTTTTTAAACGTATAAGAAGGGAAAAATGAATAATTGATGCCATTTTTCTCCATTTCAAAAACTTTAAACACAGGACTTAAATTTTTTAAATTCTTTGAAAATTAAAATATATTTATTACAATGCCAAATCTCTGTCCCATATATGAGAGGCCAGGCTACTCTGAAAGTAAACAGAGACCACTGCCTAATCCAACTATACTGATAGAGTAAGTGCGACACAGGTGATTTTTGCCTCAGTTCCTCAGGCTACCTAAGTAACTAGCTATGTGGGCCTTTAGTCTCTCTTAAAGGACAGTAGTAGTAATCGTACCAATGAGAATACTATTCCTCTCTGCTTCCAAAGTGGCACTCACAAGAACAGGAGTTGTTGAGTTTTTAGCATGTGGACAGGAAAACATAAACTTGGCTTCAGAAGGAGGTAGGATAGGTATGGCATTTTTTTTCTCTACATTCATGTTTCCTTAAGCATGTGAAGATCAGAAAAATGCCCAGTTCTAATATTTACTGGCTTAATATGTTTAGAGATTCAGTTCTTCAGATGAGTAAATTAGAGTCATCAGGAACTACACAGAATTATGCAGACTCTGTTACTGTTTTGCACTTTGTATATTTTTGAATATCTTAAAATATTTCATCAAACTTTTTGAAGTATCAAGAAAAGCTCTCTACCTCTCTATATAAATACATGTTTTACTCTTAATATTTTATTTTCCATTCTTTTTTAATGTTTTCCTTTGTGTCCCATTACTGAGTTTCACTTCTTTTCATTTGCATTTTTCAACCACCATGTAATGTTTTTCTGTTAAGATTCATTTCATATGTTTGACACTTAACTGAAAAAATTACATTAACATAATAAAATTCTGCAAGGAAGTTATGTATGTTTATTCAGTGAAAATGCCTGCTATGTACCAAGGTATATACGAGGGTATTTGGAGTAATAAAAACATACACAACTTGCTTTGAGTAGTAGCTCATGGTCTGTTGGAAAGATAAGCCAGAAAAACAAGTTAATGTCTAATCAGCGTGAGACTTTTACATTAGATGTAAGTAATGATAGCCCAGAATATTGGGGGAAAGGTCAGTGAGCACTTTCTGAAAAACATATTCTTTGAGTTGAGTCTTGAAAGTCTAGGAGAGTTAACAAAGCAGAGAAAGGAGAATCCATTCTAGAAAGATCAGACAGTTGAGTACAAAGACCTGAGACTTAAAAGGACATGCCCTGTTTGGAGAAACATCAAGAAGTCCATGTGTCCGGAGCATAGGGCACATGAGAAAGAGACACAGCTATAGAGATTGGGTAGGCCAGGTCAGAACATCCCGTTATTTTACTAAACATATAGCTGAATTTACCTTTTTAATAATCTGTTTCACACAGTGTACTCTGGGGGTCGAATGGTCACATATGAACATCTCCGAGAAGTTGTGTTTGGCAAAAGTGAAGATAAGCATTATCCCCTTTGGTAAGTTTTGTTTTGAAAATAATATGCTGTTGCCCCAAAAGATTTAATGTTTATCTATACATTTGCACCAAAACTGCCTTAAGTTATAGCTTAAGATAACAAATAATTACGATATAACTCCAAATCATTGGGCGTTTACAGCATATTGTAAGCAGACATGCATATACATACATATATCACTTTGTGTATATATATATATATATATATATATATGTATATATATATAGCTATTATTTATTTGATATTTTAATATTAAAAGAATTCTTAAAGGGCACCTTTTCTTAAAAACTTTCTATTGAGGAACTCTGGACTATTGAGTCAGATAAAGATAAGCTCAAATTACTGCTCTACTACTGTGTAACCTGGACAAACTGCTTCGCCTTTTTTTATCTTCAGTTTTCTCATCTGTGTAAGTAATACTGGCCTTCAGACTTCTGTTTTTGTAGGATTTGATGAGGCGATGAATGTAAGTGCATATATTTACAATCAAAACAGAAAAAATAGGTTACTATAAATAATATGCATAGAACTGCTCAAATCAATAAAAATATAGGGGGGCCGGCCCGGTGACGCACTGCTACGGTGCGCCACTTGGGAAGCGTGGCGGCGCTCCCGCCGAGGGTTTGGATCCCACATACAGACCGGCCGCTCACTGGCTGAGCGAGGAGCGGGGGCAACACCGAGGGTTGCGATCCCGTTGCCGGTCCCGGTCCGGTACGGGCGCGACACTGAGGGTTGACATCCGTTGCCGGTCACCAAAAAAGACAAAAAGACAAAAAATAAATAAATAAATAAAATAAAAATATAGGGAACACAATAGAAAAATAAAGGATAGCAATAGGCAGTTCACAAAAGAAGAAATATAAATATTTGTTAAAAATGTAAAAATGTCCACCTTACTAGTAATCATGGAAATTAATTAAAACTATCTTCTTTAAACTGTTAGTGGAAATCTAACTTTGGCCTTTTGGAGCATAAATTACCTGTTAAAATGTTTAAATATGTAATCCTTTGACCCAGCTCCTTCTTTATGATTATAGTCATTCAGAAATACTTATATCTATGCATAAAGACAGACAGGCACACACATACAATATTGACAGTAGCAGTATTGATAATAGCATTTTAAAAAATTAAATAACTATCAATCAGGAAGTGGTTAAGTACATTACGGTATATTTATACAGGGAAGTATAACCAAGCTATTGAAAAAATGGAGTAGATTTTATATTACTAATATAGAAAGATGTCTGTAGTATCTTTTCTGGGGTAAAAAAAGAAATCCAAGTCACAACTATAAGAAAAGGGCAGTAAGTAGAATTTCACCTTGTAGGCAAAATCTCTTGGTCTTGTTTCGGAAAAATTGTCATGTACTAAGCTATACTAATTGCTTTCCCAGCATTTAGGATAGTGATAGGATAGAAGATTACTAGTCCTTGCATTTTGGAATTTCCTCCAGAAGGGAAAAGTTTATGTAAAGAGTTCAAAGGAAATATTATTCTGTGAAGTCAACTCTCAGGGTGGATTGGTTTGATGCCCTTTTGACCTAACCAGAACAATTCATTCAGTCAGTAGGTATTTATTGGATGGTTGTGGTGTTGTGGTGTATCAGTCTTGTGCTTAATACCGAGGCTATAGTAATGATAAAGATATGTTCCTACCACAGTAACAGAGACAGATACATAAACAATTAGAACATTGTAAAAAATACAAAGAGTGGTTATGAGATTTGCAAAGAGAAAAAAATTGATAATGTACTGTGTTCATATCATTGTGTGAAGAAATAGGTAGTCTCATAAGTTGTTGGTGGAAGTATAAATTGATATAAGTTCTGTGGAAAGAATTTGGCAGGATCTATCAAATGTTACATGTTCAAAATTCTTAGTTTAAAGTTATACTAGTTAAATAAATCATGGTATATCCATATGAAATGCTATGAAAATATTAAAAAGGATGAGACAGTTCTATATAATAAGGACAAGTTTTAAGATACGCTATACTGTTAGGAAAAAAATCAAAGTGCAGAACACTATAAAACTTGGCTTTCTATGTTTGTGTTCTTAAAAAGGAATATTTATAGAGGATGGCTGGTTAGTTCACTGGGTTAAAGCATGATGCTGATAATACCAAAGTCCAGAATTCAATCTCTGTATGTTCCAGCTGCAAAAATAAATAAATAAATAAATAATAAAAATAAAAATATTTATACAGATAAAAGTGTGTATGCATGAACTATCAATCGTAACTTAGTGTTTAAGACTGTGGGCTCTGCACTCAGACTGCCTAGATTTACATCTTGGCTATACCTGTACCACTCACTAGTTATGTGATTTGGGCTATTATTTAACTGATCTATGCCTTGGTTTTCTCATCTGTAAAGAGAGAATGATAGTAGTACTAATGTTGTAGGGTTGATATGAGAATTAAATGGTATTTTTAAAATGCTCAGAACAGTGCCTGACACAATGCATTATTATTATTATCTCTGGGATGGCATATAAGAGACTAGTAATTTTGATTGCTTCAGTGGAGGGGAGCTAGGGATAGCAGTCAAAAGCACCCTTTTTACTTTATACCTATTTGTACCTCTTCAAATTAATTTAAAATAAAAGGAAAAGAGGGGCTGGCCTGTGGCTCACTTGGGAGAGTGTGGGGCTGATAACACCAAGGCCACATGTTCGGATCCCTATATAGGGATGGCCGTTTAGCTCACTTGGGAGAGCGTGGTGCTGACAACACCAAGTCAGGGGTTAAGATCCCCTTACTAGTTATCTTTAAAAAAAATACATAAATAAATAAATAAATAAAAGGAAAAGAAAAGAAATACCTCTGCTTCCCAAGAGACCATTGCAATAATCTAAGTAAAAGATGATTGGAAGTTGACCTGAGATAAGAGCCATAGGAATGGAGAGAAGAGGATGAATTCATAGCATGTTGCAGTATAATAGCCTAGTCTTGCTCCCCATTGGCTCTGCAAGGGGAGGAAAAGAAAGAGTCAGGAATGGAAAGTTTCTTCAAAGAGAGGAATGTTTTCAAACCCCCTTCACTTGGAAAACTGCTAAAGTGGTAGCTTTTAAAATTTGACTTAGAAACCTTTGTCTGTTAAGCTGATTACATCTATGCTGTATTTATTCCCCTGTAGTTAGAATTACATTGCAATTAAATTATCAATTTAGATGTTTATGTCTTTGAAGCAACTCCCTTTCCTTTGGACTTTAGTCCATGTAAGGTCTGAAACTTCAGATTTTAATTTTAACTCCTTGTGGTCCTTTAACTCTGCCATCAGTAAACAGATCATCTGCTTTCCTCTGTGATTTATTTGGGTCTATCCTTTTTTTCACTTTGTCTTAAATCTCTTACCCAGGTCCTACACCAGCTTGGTGATGGTTCACTATAAAATTTGTGAAATTAATGGCAACTTTAAAAAAATGTATCTCCTTTTATAATTAGGAAATCAGTCATTGGAGGGATGATGGCTGGTGTTATTGGCCAATTTTTAGCCAACCCAACTGACTTAGTGAAGGTTCAGATGCAAATGGAAGGAAAAAGGAAACTTGAAGGAAAACCATTGCGGTAAGTTCTCCAATTAACTGATACCTTTCCTTTCCCCTTTGTCATCATCATATTTTGAACATTCACCCAACGGATTCATCATTTTTGTAATCCAGTGTTCACTAAAGATATTGATTTTGACTCTTTTAATTTGGAAGTTATATTCATTAAGAGGAGAGTTAAGCTGGATGTTTTCCTTGCAAAATGAAGTGTACGTATTCTCTACCAGACAAATTATATGTGTGTACAGCTCTTTGCTGCTTTTCCCAGCCAACATAGCTGTACCTGTCCCCTATTGCAGGTTGATATAAAGAGTTTGATTGTTACAGTTTGACCTCATGTGAATCTCAGTTTTGTCACTGTGACTTGGTGTTATGGAAGTCACTTAACATTGCTTGTCTCTGTGTTTTGATCTTTTAAAAGGGCCCTCTCAAAAGGTTTTTTTATGACAGTTAACATGCCTGGCTCATTAGGTGAGAAAAACCTTACTTTCTCTTTCTTCTGGTAAGAAAGGAAGTAGTAAGGTTAACCTTGCAAATTGTTTCCACTTCCTTGTCTAATCCTATTCCTCCTACATCTTGAGGCCCTCTTTTTTTCCCTAGTTTAAGGAAGATTTTCTATTATGCCTTTGTGATAAAAAAAATCTTCCTATTGAGTTGTCCTGTATTATTGAAGTCTGTCTTTCTTCAAAGGATTTCTTGTTCAACAATTTATTAAAATGCCACTAAGTCAGGTTCTCCTAGGAAAGGGGCAAAATCTTGCAGATAGATAGACCCCTCTCAGGAAAGAGGGATATTGCAGGGTGACTTCAGCTTAGTGTGAAGGGATCTGCTACTCTGAACACTCCAGGTCTGCAGCTGAGTCAGAGGCCTCTGAAGTAGGAGTTCACCACTGAACAAAGCTGTCTGCTCCCCTTCTCCTCTAGCTGGCTCATGGAAAATGAGGTTGGGCTGCTGCAGCCCAGGCTCCCCTTCAGCCTTCAAAATAGAGAACATGCACAGCAGAGGAGAAAAGGGCACTACTCTGATTTAACCAAGTAGTTTACAGAATCTCAGAGCCCATTTTTGTCATCATGTAACAACTTCCAATTACTAAGTAGTAGGGAGAGTGATGCAGCCTTGCTTGGACAGGAGGAGAAAACTGGCTGTTGGGATCCAGAAATTCCTTAATTTTTAACTGATCCCTCAGTTTTTTTCTTCCCTTTGTCCGTAACGTTGGAAAATTTTGGTTTGACTGTACTTAATGTTGTAGTAAAGAACATGAACCTTGGGATCAGACAGCTTGGGATTCAAAGCCAGTCTTTACCACATTTTAGCTTTCTAATTGTCAAGGTCCTTAACCATTCTAAGCCTCAGTTTCCTCAGGTATTAATTGGAATAATAATACATACATCATAAGGTTTTCAAGATTAAAATATATCTTATGTATATAAGGTGCCTGGTACTTAATAAATGCTTAGTAAATTTTAGCTACAGTAATCATTGTTCATGATCATAAGTTCCCATGTAACATAATTGCAATTATGCATGTCAAACAAATTTGTCATATTATCCTTTTGATGAGATTCAGAGAATGCAATGCCTGAGTATAAGCCATACAACTAGTAAGTGGTAAAAAGGCAGTTGACTCCAGGTTTTCCTGACTATATAAAGCCCAGACTTTTTTTTTTTTTTTTTATAACGGAGGTTTCCGTATTTGGTTCACAGTTCAGTACCATTTTCCATCTGTCTATAGAAAAATAAGCAAAATAAGAATAAGATAGTAAATTTTAATAAAACTAAAATGGCTCAATTTTAGGAACTCTTATTATGAGATTATCCTTCCTATTTTTTGGTCTAAAAATATCATTTATTTTATGAGATTATGTGAGACTCAGCGGTTTTTTTTAATTTATTTTTCTTTTGTCCTTTTTTTTTTTTTTTTTTTTTTTGGACCGGCCGTACTGCTCTCAGCCAGTGAGCACTGTGAGCGCACTGGTCATCCCTATATAGGATCCAAACCCGCAGCGGGAGCTCTGCTGCTGCGCTCCCAGCGCCTCACTCTCCCGAGTGCGCCACGGCTCGGCCCTCAGCAGTTTTTTTTAAATATCTTTATTTGGCAAAATTAAAAAATTGGCAGGTTCCCTGCATCACCAGTGAAAGGAATGGGGAAGTCTGACAACCACTGTTTCCTCCTATAATTAATATGTGTGCTGATATAAAATATCAGAAAAGGTATTTTAATCTATTTAATAATATGAGAAGATAAAGAGAGGATGACATAATTTATAAAGACTTCCATTAAATATGTTTAAATCAAATGTTGGTCTTTTTCTTGAAGGATTATTGTGTTTGTCTGGAAATTAGACTTATGTGGATTGCCTTAATTTCTAACAATTCTAGATGAATAAGATGTTATTGTACTCCAAATTATAATAGCTATAGTTGAAGCTTATCCAGTTGCATTCCACACAGAAATTCATAGAGTTTTCACATTTCATTATTATTTTCCTTAGATTTCGTGGTGTGCATCATGCATTTGCAAAAATCATAGCTGAAGGAGGAATACGTGGGCTTTGGGCAGGCTGGGTACCTAATATACAAAGAGCAGCGCTGGTGAATATGGGAGGTAATGGAAAATTTATTGAGTTCTGAGAAGTCCTAATTGCCTTAATAGTTGTAATTATAAGCATTTATATTAGGGACATGAAAATTGTTATTTTTTAATAACTTTGGTAATAGGCTGCATATATGTTGTAATTTCATAATTGAATATTTTTCCTAGAGAATTTTCATTTTATTTTATGGTGATGTATGAAAAGGATTTTCTAAAATAGGCAAATTGTGGCAGTAAGGAGACAAGACCAAACTATTTCTAAGTCTCTTCTCCAGTCCACACCTTCCTTTAAGATTCAAACTGATATGACTGTGATGATCATTGTACCAAGGCTGTCCAAATATTTCCCCTATTAATCCTTCTCCTAATCCTATATAATCCATCTTCTACAGCCTGACCTAACAGACTGGAAATCTGAACGTTCCCTTAACTAATCCCTACACCTCATTTCCTGTATTCACTTACCAGTTTCTTCTATCTTTCAAATACTTCTTAACACTCCAATACCTACTACCTTGGTGTTCTTAAAATGACCATTTACACGACCATCAAAACCTCTTAACTAGACCACTGCACAGCCATCTAACTGGTCCCTTCCTCCATCTTCAAATCTAGAGTGATTTATCTAAAACACAGATCTGAACATGTTATTGGTGTCCTTAAAACCCTCCGCTGGCTTATTATCACAAACAGAATAAACTGGTAATTTTGGAACATGACATAGGTCTACAAAATCTGTTCTGTGCCTTCAGGGAACTGAGCAATTCAATGATTCTGCTGCAAAGAGTGAAGCACAAAGTCATGAGCTAAAAAGCTCCACTGCCTGCTCATACCAAGCTGTTCTTCACCTCTGTACTCTTCTTCCTCCTCCTTCTACTTAGTTTTCTCCTACAGATTCTTTAATACTCAGCTAAGGCGTCTTCTCCACCAGTGTATTTTTCCTCCCACAATACCTTCCCCCACACCATGCTATGTTAGATGCCCCTGTATGTATTTCTGTAGCTCCCTGTGCTTATCACTATTATTGCCTATATCTCATTTCGTTGCTTTCTAGTATGTGCCTGTATCTTACACTAGTTTGTGAGCCCTTGAAGGTTTTATTCATCTTTATTTTCCCAGTTCCTCATATGTAGTCAATAAGCACCTGAAGAATGAATTAATCAATGAAAGAATCCTTTCTAAAGCCAATTATATGATTCTAAGAAATTGATAATTAGCATTTTTGAAGGTTTCAGTAACATCACACACTTAAACATCAAAGGAAGGGGCCAGCCCCGTGGCTCCCGCCGCAGGTTCAGATCCTATATAGGGATGGCCGGTACGCTCACTGGCTGAGCATGGTGCAGGCGACACTAAGCCAACGGTTGCGATCCCCTTACCGGTCAAAAAGAAAAAGAAAAAGAAAAAAGAAAAACATCAAAGGAAGTAAATCTATACTCTAAATGTATGTTTTGCTATTTCAGTCCATCTGTTTCTGCTGTATCATATTGGATATTTTGGTTTTCAGGAAACCTTTCTGATTGTATTTTCTCAATTTGTTGCTTCAAAAATCTATTGTAGCCCAGATTTTTCTTCCAAGTTCCACCTTCCAGGTTCCAGAGTTTTCTTCCAGGTTCTTCATTTGGATATCTCAGATATTATCACTTAGAATGTATCCAAACCAAAGTCCTTTATTAAACCATTTCCTTTTTCATTCTTTATGATCTCAAAATATATTGCCATTCTTTCCGTTGGACAGCCAGAAACCTAGGCATGATTTATTGGCTCTTTCCTTTCACTTGCTCCTTATATATCCAGTCAGTCACCAAGTCTAGAAACTTCTATCTTCTAGATGTATCTCAAATTCGTACACTTCTCTCCATCCCTGGAGTCACTCCTTTGTCCAAGTATTATTCATTTTCTCCTACTGAACCACTACAGAAGCCTCCTAACTGGTGTCTCCATATCTAGCCCACAGCCATTTGGCCACACTATGCCTCTGAAACTGGTTTTGTCCAGGTCACCATTGCCTCTCATCTTGTTTGTTTAAAAATTTTTTTGTCAGTTTTTATCTTCAACCTCTCCTTAACTGACAGCTCTGTTCTTTAAATTGTTGACACTCAAAACCTTGTAGTCATCTTTGATTTCTTTCTTTCACTCCATATTCAATCTGTTGCCTAATACCCATTCAAAATTTATCCAGAATCTGACCAGGGCTCCACAACTCCCTTATCCAAGCCATCATCATCTCTTATCAGGATTACTGCAGTGGTATCAAATCAAATCTGTCTTGTCTCTCCACAGTCTACTTGCAACAGAATAGCTATAATGATCCTTCTAAATACAAATCTGGGTCAATCACTGCTCTGCTCAGAACTCTCCCATGGCTTCTGATGCTTTACATCACCTGTACTCTGTCACTTCTCTGACCTTTTCATACTGTGCTTCAACTAGCCCAGTCTTCTGGCCTTTCCTCTAACATTGCAGACTGGCTCTTGCCTCAGGGCCAGAACACATACTGTTCCTTTACCTGGGACACTTTCTCTTAGACATCTACATGGTTTGTTTTCTTATGCTTCCTTTAGGTCTCTGCTCAGATGGTCACCTTATCGAGAGGCCTTCCCCGATGCCCCGATTTAAAATATATATACACTATTCCTCCCTACCCTCTGTTTTTCCCTATCCTCTTTCTCTTGCCTGATCAGTTTTTAGGGCATTTGCTTAAAGAGCAGGTACCATCTGAAATATACCATGTCATTTACTTTGTTTATTGTCTTATCCCCTAATAGAGAGCAGAGCTTTTTGTTAATTTTGTCCATGGCTCTTTCTGCAGTGCCTAGAATGTGCCAGTCACAAGGTAGGCACTCAGATATTTGGTGAGTGATCAAATTTACCTATCCATTTCTGCTCATTACAGTTTACTTCCCTAAACTCCAGCATTGTGATGTCACTTCCCTGTTTAAAACCCTTCAGTAGTAAGGACCTTTTATTTAAAAGTGACAGAATCTCAACTGAACCTAACTTAGGCTAAAAAAGGAATTATTGGCTCAAATACTGAAAAGTTCAGGGGTTGATCTGACTTCAGACATAGCTGGATTCATGTGCTTAATTGATACCGTTGAGTATCTGTCTCTCCCTCTTTTCCTCTCCCTTTATCTTTAGATCTGCTTTCTTCTTATTATAGTATCTTTCATCCCGATACACATTCCTGCCCCAAGCTTAGCATAATCTTGACACAAAGACATGTACTATTGAATGAGTGAATTTTTAAACCTTCTTTTACCATTGCCAGATTTAACCACTTATGATACAGTGAAACACTACTTGGTATTGAATACACCACTTGAAGACAATATCATGACTCATGGTTTATCAAGGTAAGTGATTGTTTTAGTTTGACTCTTTCTATTTTTTCTATATCACCTTTTCTTCCATATTTGGCATGAGTTCTAACTTTTGGCTCTTTTGATCAGGAACCTAGTGGTATCACTCTTAGAGAAGGATGATAGAATGTTTGTTAGCAGTAATTTTCTTAAAGTTTTTTGCAGTTAAAATAAGGAAGAGACAAAGTTACAAGATATTTCAGATTAAACCTTCCAAAATATTTGTACCCTGATGGGGTCATCCCAGGGATAGGTTCTGATGATCAACTCTCCAACTCAATTCAACAATTATGTTTGAGTACTTTTGTGTTAAAGGCACCTATGCAGAGCCCTAAAGTGGGTACAAAAGGGGTAAACCCAACTCCTACCCAGGGAGCTTACCAACAGGGAGAACAAGACAAGCATAGAAACACTGTACAGCAAATGCTAAGTGAAAGTGAGTAGTGACTGTGTGGTTCAGAGGAGGGAGAAAAAATAACGCTTTGGAAGGTCCCACGAAGGAGATAGAATTAGATAAAGGTTTTGAAGGGCTGTGGCTCTTCACAGATAGGGACAGGAAGAAGAAGGACATTCCAAGAAGGGGCAGTACCTTAATCTCTTTGCAACATCAGTTTAAATTATCCATAGAATAAGTTATTTTATAGATATCTACTCTCCTTAACATTATTGTGATTTCACTTAGCTTCTGATCTTGTTTCTAAATTCTAGAACCCTCTATGCTATTTAGAGAACCCCCAAAGTATATTAATAGTGTCAAATCAATGCTATTTGTTCGGATATATACATGCACATATATACATATATGTGTGTATTTATGTCTTTTTTTTTTAAACATACTGAGAGTATTTCTGACTTGGGGTTTTTGCATGTGCTGTTTCATCTGCTTGTAACAATCTTCCTCCAGGTCTTCACATGGATGTATCCTTTTCACCACTCAGTTATGCTGTCATCTTGAGAGCCTTTCCTTGGCTGTCACCCAGTTACTCCCTATCACATTTCCCCATTTTATATTTTTTAATAGCATTTATCAACATCTGAAGTTACTCATTTCTCCTCTACCTCTCTCCAGTCCGAGGGCAGGGTCTTATCTGTTTTGTTCACTGCCTAAAAGAATGCCTTGTGCTGACAGGTGCTCAATGCATATGCTCAATATGGGTATGCTCAATGCATTTTTGTTGACCGACATTTTTTTATTTTTAATTTTTTCTGTCTTTTTAATGAATTAATTTAGCATTAGTTTTAAGCTAAAAAAGCGTTATTATAAAGAATATTGGGCCGGCCCGGTGGCGCACTGCGCTAGTACGCCGCTTGGGAAGCGCGGAGGCGCTCCCGCCGAGGGTTCGGATCCCACATACAGACCGGTTCCCGCTCACTGGCTGAGCGAGGCGCGGGGGCAACACCGAGGGTTGCGATCTCGTTGCCGGTCCTGGTCCGGTATGGGGGCGACACTGAGGGTTGCGATCCGTTGCCGGACACGGAAAAAAAAATAAAATAAAATAAAAATAAAGAATATTATAATTATATATTTAGTATTCCATTCTTTCTAAATATCAAATTCTTTCTTAAAATTTAGAAACTACTACATATTATCTTTCAATTTCATTTATTTATATTCATAGTTTATGTTCTGGCCTGGTAGCATCTATTCTGGGAACACCAGCTGATGTCATCAAAAGCCGAATAATGAATCAACCACGAGATAAACAAGGAAGGTAGGTAGAAAGTCTTCAGTATTCATGTGCTTGAATGTCTACAATGATACTATTCTTTAAAGATACTTCCCTGTATTTTATTCTTCATAGAAATTACATATGTGTTTTTGTGTTCAATGAGGAAATTGTTTTTATGCAATAACATGCTCTTTGATGAAAAAGTAGTATGTATTTGGGGAAATAAGCTAAGTAACAGTCATATAGGCACAAGGTATTCATTGTGACTTTGTTGTTTTCAAAGAGTTTTTGAAAGCATACTCTGCTGAGAATTTACAGAGCACTTTCTTCAGAAGCTTATGACTTACAGGTAACATGGAGAATTTGATTTGATATAAAATAGTATGTTCTCTTTAGAAGAGGTCAGGTGGTGTGAATTCTAAGTATAAGACTAAGGGTGGGATGAATCAGAAGAGTCAGCCTTGAAAATATCTTTAAGCTCCAAAGAAGCTATCAATATCTATAGAACCCCAAATACTGTTTGTTCTAAACTAGCAGAAAACATTTAACTTATAAGTTTCCTAAGACTATTTTATTTTACTTATAGTACAACTGTGTACACAGAAGAAATTTAATAAAAGTCTCTTGTTTCCTTTGTAGGGGGCTTTTGTATAAATCATCAACTGACTGCTTGATTCAGGCTATTCAAGGTGAAGGATTCATGAGTCTATATAAAGGCTTTTTACCATCTTGGCTGCGAATGGTAAAATTAGGTTTTTGCTTTCCTTTGTTTTTCTTTTCTTTGTACTTAAGTTACTTTTAATCCGTATTTCCCTTTTCTTTTCTGGTTTGTGGCATGGCCCTATCCCCAAATCAAGATCCTTTCTTTTTAAAATATTTTTTTGTTTTCTTTCATCTCTTCTAAGAGTCATATTACCTTCCTTGGTAGATTAAGGTAAAATAAATTAGTTACACCAATTACATAAAGGTTGACAGTCTGTTGTTATAAATCCAGTGGACAGATTTTCTGGAATATGGAACCATTAGTAGTCTATTTAGCTAAAATACAGTAGTTTGGGACAGGTGTACAGATGTTACACTAGAGATTTTTCCTATGAAAATTTTACTGTTTCAAGCAAAATTTGTTACTTTGGAAATTGTTACATTATCCATTAATACTTACTACCACAAAATTCTGCTTAGTAAGAAAGAATTATGTCATTTTTATTTGGTTTAGATGTTATTTTTTACAGATGTGTGAACTAAGATGTAGAATTATATAGACTTGTTTAAGTAATATAGCAAACATAATAAAAAGGTACTCAGGTCTTTTGTAAGTCAGAAAATATTTAAAAGAATGGATGAGTTATAGATTTAAAAGTTCAAACAACCCCAAATTAATATATTATAATTATATATAATTTAATATTATATATGTATTTTTTCACTGAGCACCTACTCCATGCAAAGCCCTATACTGAGGGCTTAGCTTTGAGTAAGAAACTATAGGTGATGAGTGTTATGGGAAGATGCTATAGAACTATATAGCAAATGGGTACAGCCTAGGCTGGAAAATTAAGAAAACTCCCTGGTGAGTGGACTTCTGAATTGAATTTGAAGAATGAGTAGGACTTAACCATTAAAAAGGGTAGAAAGGAAAATTCTATAAAGAGGGATAATTGGAGTATACTGAGAGTGTGATGACTTCAAGGAGCTGAAGGAAGCCCAGCAGGCCAAAGTACAGACAGAAGCAGAGACCAGATTGAGAATGGCCGTAAGAACCAGAAGAGTCATGGGCACCAGCTTGATGACATTTGAATTTTTAGATAGATCGTTCTGGCTATCACACGGGTTGGGAAAATGCCAGGAGTAGTGATTAAATGAAAGAGAATGGTGGCTTGGATGAGAGTATGACACTGGGGACAAAAGATGGATTAAAATTTTTTTATTAAAAATTTTTTTTTATTAAAATTTAGGAGGGAGAACAGAGATAGCAACATGACTGATTGGATAGGGGAAATGGTTGGAGAAAATAAGGAAAAGTTAAGATTCATTTCTAGATTTCTGCTCTGAGCAACTGATGATGATGCAATTTCCTAAAATGAAGATCATTTACAGGGAAGAAGATTTTGAGGTAAAATGAGTTTAGTTTTAGATATGTGAAGTTTTGGATGCTCATAGGACATTAGAGATGCCTAGATGATTAACTCAATATATTGGTCCGAATCTTAGAGAATTCAGGGTGGGAGATTTAGATTTTGAGCACAGGTGGTAATTAAAGCTTTGGAAATAAATGATATCACAAAGGGATGGTAGGGGTTTATTTATTAACATGAAATAAATAGCCAAAGTCCTTATGTGACCTGATCCTGTGTGGGCTTGATATGACCAAATCTCATACAGAGGAGTACCACAGTTAAAAACACAATAACATTATTTTGGTGGTCTTGATTATACCTTTAAAACTATCTCAAAACTGTGGATTTTTCTTACTGGAAAGGTAGACTTTGATTTGGCCTACATGAATCAGGCACTATTATAGGTACTAGCAGCACTAAGGAATGAGACAGAGTCTTTGCACTAGACGGACTTGTAGAAGTTAAACATGTAAGTAGTTAAAATTACAGAAATAATAAATACTAAATCACCTGGTACATGGCCAACACTCTGCTAATCATTTTTATAGCTTAGCTCTGAATTCTCCTAACAATCTGTGCAGTAGGTTACTGACATATCCCTCTTTTATTGAGAAGGAAACGAAAGTGTAGAGAGTCTAAATGACTTGACCAGGTTAGGTGGTTATTAACTAGTGGTTCAGGGCATTATACCCAGGCAGCCTCATGCCAGAGGACATAGTCTTACAAAGGTTTTATTAGTGCTTTGCCAGTGGTATAAACAGTACTGTGTGGGAACATGGAGAGTGGAGTAAAAATGGCTGTACTGTGTTTATGAAGTCACAAAAGGCTTCACAGAGCCAATATTTGATTTGGGCTTTGAAGCATTAGTAGACATTTGTCAAGAGAAATGTGAGGAAGCAACATGAACGTAGGCATCATATTGTGTGTGGGCCTGATATGTTTGAAGAACTGTAGAAAATTCAGTGTGACTGGAGAATAAGTCCTCAGAGGGAACGTGGTAGGAGATAAGACTAAAGAAGCACTTAAGGACCAGGTTGGGAAGGACCTTGTGGGCAAGCTGAGTAGTTTAGGTGTAACCCTATAGTCAGGAAGCACTTGCTTAATAAGCTCAGGAACAACGCTAAGATTTGTTTGGCAGCAAGATTACTTTGGAAGCAATATAGAAGATTACTTGAAAGCTAGGATATAAGAAAGGAAGTTTGGGCAGTGGTCTAGCCAGGAGATGATTGTAGAAATGGAGAAAAGATATATTCTAGGGACATTTATTGTAATTCCACAGGACTTAGTAACTGATTATATGTGGAAGGTGAGGGAGAGAAAAAAAGAAAATGGGACTCATGTTTCTGGTGTGGGAGACTAGGAGGATGGGTGAACCTATTGCTGAAACAATAGGGTCAGGAGGGATAAGGGGTGGGGAGAATATCACTTTATCTCACCCATTCTCTTTATTCACAACACTCAGGAAGTATAAATGACCAAAAAAAAAAAAAAAAAAAAAAAAAGTACTTAATATGTGATAAGAGGGAGAGAAAAAAAGAAAATGGGACTCATGTTTCTGGTGTGGGAGACTAGGAGGATGGGTGAACCTATTGCTGAAACAATAGGGTCAGGAGGGATAAGGGGTGGGGAGAATATCACTTTATCTCACCCATTCTCTTTATTCACAACACTCAGGAAGTATAAATGACCAAAAAAAAAAAAAAAAAAAAAAAAAGAGTACTTAATATGTGATAAGCTCTTTATATACATTATTATTATTTTTTTTTTCCTTTTCTGTCTTTTTTTTGTGACCGGCAATGGATTGCAACCCTCAGTGTCGCGCCCGTACCGGACTGGGACCGGCATCGGGATCGCAACCCTCGGTGTTGCTCCCGCACCTCGCTCAGCCAGTGAGCGGCCGGTCTGTATGTGGGATCCGAACCCTCGGCGGGAGCGCCGCCGCGCTTCCCAAGCGGCGCACTGTAGCAGTGCGCCACCGGGCCGGCCCTATATACATTATTTTTTAAATCTTAAAAGAACCTAGTAAAACAGGTAGTGCTATTTTTGTTTTCATGAGAAAACCGTTGATCACATTGATATAGGTACTATTTAGCTAAAATACAGTAGTGGTGGAACTGAGAATCGACTACAGGTCTGTTCAACTCAAAACCCCACGCTCCTTATTAATACAGTATGCTGAGTTGCTACAGCTAATTACAGAAGTTATAAAATAAAAGAGACAGTTGGTACTGATGGAGGGGTACTACCAAAGATCACCAGGGTGTCACTGCCTTGTTAATTTGCAACAGTGCATGACCCTGAGCTCAGAAACCTGACTCATGAGCACTTCCAAGTAAATTGACCTGGAGAGTACAGGTTCACCTCAGGTGAATTCATTGAAAGTGATGATCGGGCCAGAATATCTGATTCATTCACATCGCACAACACATTTGGCAAGTGATCCAGATGCTGAAGTCCTCCGGCCAGGTGCTTTCTCCAAAACTCAAACTATATGGGACTCAAATTATAACCAGAAAATTGCTTGCTAAACACAGAATCACACAAAAACTTATTTGTAAACAGTGTTTAAGACTCTCAATCCGAGAGCTATTATGTTTTCAGCTCCACAGTAACAGGCAAGGAAAAGGACTCCGCTTTTTGCTAGCAGTTATGGCAAAAGGCATACCAGAGGAAACAACATGGGTTCATATATGAGGGTACTTCAAAAAGTTCATGGAAAGATTCATAATATCTTTTAATTCTATTTTTCCATGAACTTTTGAAGTACCCTTGTACACTTGGATTACTTACAGTGGTCACAACTATGCCAGTAAGGAAATCATCAAGTAAACATAGTGCCCGCATGCACTCCTGTACAGAGGCTAAATAAAGGATCTCCCTCTCTTTAACTCCATTCAGAACTCGGCTAAACTGCATCCCAAACTCTTCCACTAGGTAGGGGTAGTATAACCTTGCTTTGCTCAGTCTTCTATTAATGCTTACTTCATTTGCCTATGGTTTTGTTGCTATAATGTCATTAACATGAGGAAGAAGTCTGATTACCACAGCAATTAGGAATGATTGAACAGTCCATTCTTAACTAAGACCTCTGCCTCCTTGATCCAACTGCAGTGATGTACTTGGTTCAATTCATTTTTGTTGTCACAAGAATATGATATCTTCACAACTTTTTATTCCTTATTTCATCTATGTCTTCACATATTTAACTGATATGTTCTCCTAAATCTACCATTTAGTAAATTCTGTTTACCAATATAACATGCTCAATATTTCCAAACACATATGACGTAAATATTGCATTACAAACTCTGTAAATACATTTTACATTCTAATTGTTTAAGCTTATTCTGTATGATAGAGTTCCTCTCTGATCAATATTGATCAGAGCAGAACCAAACAGGAATTAGATCCAATGTACCCTTTTTCTGTTCTATTGTTTGCCCTGTGATTTCTCTTTGTAGCTTTAGTGTTTATATCTTTAGTATTTATATCTTCTTCTAACCCTTTTTTTAAAAAAATAATTCCTTTAGATATATGTTATACCTTTATTCAAGTTAAAGTCAAGCCTTTCTGAACTGGGAGCTCTTTTCCCTATTTAATGTGAATTTTTACATACATGCTGTGAGATATCAGGAGTTGGCTTTACAGAATAACTTTTCAAAAGATAATCTTTCTTCTTCACTTTCAAGTTCTTAAGTGTCTCATTGTCATGCTCTATATCTAAACAATATGTAGAGGAGCCCAGCCTAGAATTCAGGCATCCCAAGTCCTAGCCCTTTAGCCAGTAATGGTTCAGTAGAAAGAACCCTGAGAACGGAAAACAGAAACCTGTGGTCTAGCTCTACAACATGCTAATACGCATTTGAGTGTTAAGCTTCATTGTCCTCATCTGTAAAACAGGAATATTAATACTTTTCCTTTCTATTGTTAATTTTCATTTAGAGAATCTGTACTAAGACATGAAATGCTTTGTAAATTATAAAGTGCTTTACAAAGGTGAAATACCAAAATATTTGTTTTCAGCCTAAGTGGATTAAAAATGACTTCGTCATTCAAAGATGTGTATGCATATATGTAGAATATTTATAATTGCTTTGAAATATGCACTAACTTCTTTGGTTAATCTTTCAGACCCCTTGGTCACTGGTGTTCTGGCTTACTTATGAAAAAATCAGAGAGATGAGTGGAGTCAGTCCATTTTAAGCCCTTAAAGATGCAGCCCTTACAGATACAATGTTCAGTGTTATTGAAATGTGGGCATCTGCAACACACACCCCCTATTATTTGTACCTTTTTAGGAAGACACTCCACAGAGACTGTGATTTATAGGGGGCAGCACTTTATTTTACTCTGGAAACCTGAATTCTCTTTGACTCCTCTTTTTGTCCAAAAGTGATCTGGTTGGATCTTACGAGGCTATCCGTTGAGACCCAGCACAGCATATTCTAAAGAAGAATTGAACCCTGACCACTTTCACCTTTGCTGAGAAGTTTGGCCTTTGAGATGCTATTCTGTGCTGAAGAGCCTGCTTAGAGGAGAGCCAGGAGGGAAACAGCATCTCAGATCTGAAGTAGACAGTAGGAATGTGGAAGAATATATACATAGTGCTTAAGAAATATGTTCAACCTGTTAATGTCAGTATTTATAATTGAAGTTTGGCAGTTCACTTTCCTGTTGTTAAAGTGTACATATTGTAAATTAAAGGCAGGTGAATGAAAATTAATGAATAAACATTTTGAGATTACCTAGTGTTGAAGGAAGTTAATGTATCTTTTCTTGTCAGGAGGATGAAAAAAAGAAAAATCAAGTTGAGATGACATTTGGATTTCAAGGAAAGAAGCTGCTTTCTGCCAGTGCCCCCTCATTAGATCTGTGTAAATTGGTTAGTACTCCACTGCATGTGCTAGTAACTTTCCCTGACAGCCACAGACTCTGAATCTTGATGCAAAGAGAAGAACATTTGTCTCCTTACATATCCCATTACAAATTTGGATTTGCTTCTAGCTTTCAAGAATCTTCATACATAAGAATTGCAACTTACTTGATTAAAACTCAGCTGTAATTCCTTTCATAAAGCACTTTTTGATAACATCAACCTTTCAGTGGTATTTTAAGAGCAAGGCTGATATGAAGTCAGCCAACATGCTTGTTTTCTTATCTCCTTTCCCTAATACTAAGGGCAAGAAAGAGAGAGAGAGAGAGAGAACTCAAACTGTCAATAGTTGAATCTTATCAGTTTGACAAAGCTTCTTGCCTAAAAAGTGATGAGTATAAACTGTCTGTGGTACACACATGTTTCCAGTCTTTGAATCAAATCCCTTTTCTTATTTTAGAAAGATAAGACATTTCTTCAGAATCACCTATATACCACCTGCTCCTCCAACCTCAGACAGAGGGTATTTCTGGATAGATGGTTGTGGTTATGAGTAAAGGCTGTAACTGTTAAAATAAGAAAAGAAAAAAAGCTCAGGCCCAAGAAAGACTTTGGAGCCAACCAAACAGAATCTGTTATGATGGACATGGATAATGGTGATCAGAAAAAAAGTTTACAAGTGCTTTGTGGTTGCACTCATGTATAATCACTGCCATTTGAGCGGGGGGGGAGGCATATTTTAAAATATATTTTAATGTGATATAATAATATGCAGTGGCTTATTGTTTTTCTAGTTGTAGAATGTGGAGTTTCATCTCTTCAAATCGTTAGGTGGTCTACCTTTCCATTGCATTTGTCAATCTGTAATTGAGTTGTTAAATATACTTAATATATATTATGTGCTTAAATTCCCAAGTGTTCTGCATTGAACTACTTTGGAGGAATTTTGTTTTTTTATGTTTTGTAATTTTTTAAATTAAGTAAAACTGGAACAAAATAATTACATGCAAACTGAACTGTGAAAAAATTGATTTAGCTTTATTCTTTGGGGGGTTTCAGATAAAAACATTGCTTAAGTACTGACACTATTCTTTCTTTGGTTTCTGGATCAAAGTGAATAACTGGAATTTTTAACCTGAAATGATTCCTTGAGATCATCTAGTTTAACCTTCTCATCTTACATGTTAGGAAACTGAGGCCCAGAGAAGTAGAGTTCCTCATGCTTGTAAGTGACTTAGCAGAGCCAGGGCAAAAATGCAGATGTCTTAATTATTATGATTATTACAACTGACAGTTAATTTGAACTATAGTCATATGCCACTTAGTGATGTTTCAGTCAATGACAGACCACAGATGTGACAGTGGTCCCATAAGATTATAATGGAGCTAAAAAATTCCTATTGCCTAGTGATGGAGTAGCCATCATAATGTAGCATGATACATTACTCATGTGTTTGTGGTGATGCTGGTGTAAACTTACTGTAAAATACATCGAAGAAGTGTGTCTAGCTTACTCACAGGGTGATTCTCCCAAAGGTAGCTCAGACCTTTAAGATAAAAAGCCAAGCATTTGACACATTATGTCTAACCCCAAGTGAAAAGGTTGTCTACTTCAGAATTTTTGCATTTTTAAATAGTTCCCTCACATCTCCCATAGCAAAATAATAGTTAATAACAGTTAGTTAACACTTACTGAGTGCTTGCTGAGTACCAGGCACAATCCCTGCCTGTAATTTATTTTTCATAACTTTGTGGGGTGGTATTAATCTAATCCCTACTTAACAGATGCGGAAAGCAAAGCACAGAGAAACTTGGTAACATAATTAGAGGACCCAGGGTCATGCAATTGTTAACCAGTGTAAATAATAGGAAAATTCATTTGTTCTCTTTCGTAATATGATTTCACAAGGATGAAATCACCTAACAATGCATTTCTCAGAATTAGAAGGTATTCCCGTCATTAAAGCGATGCATGACTGTAATTAGGTACCAAGTACATATCTTATGTCATTTGCACAACAACGCAGTCCAGTGCCCTCGAGGCTTCCAAAAACAGATTTTTCTTTATGGCATTTTTGTCTCATTTTAAATGAATCTTAATTACCTCCAGCATAAATTTTAGAATGGAGTCACCATACTTTAGCTTGAACATTAAGAGCCTTCATAATCTGACCGAATCCTGTATATCCAACATATGTCCTATCACATTCATACTTTTCTAGTGAAATCATATTCATTAATTATCTCGGAACTTGCTTTATTTTTCACAATTTGGCATCATCTTGTTTCTTTCCAAAATAATTCACAGTAAATAAGAAGGAATAAAGATTTCAGTAATTTTGTGTCCATAATCAAAGACTTAACCATTCCAATCTCACTTTGTTATAGTACTGTGATATTTCTCGATGTCTCTTCAGCTCAGTATTGATAATACTTGACATCTGAATTTCTTTTGTTTTGCTTTTATTTTTTTCTCTTCTCAAGTGATTTTTTTCTTGTTGAAAAGTATATTCTTATTTTTAATTATATACAGTTCTCTGTTCTTTATATGTATATGTGAATTAGCATATATATATCTAATTAAAGGGATAGCGTTTCTTAAATGTTTTTAGTAAGGAATAATGTGTCTTTTTCAAGTGTTCCAAATCCTATTTGATTATAAGCCAGTGGTGGGTAGGTGTTCTGTTTTTATATCAATCTGCCCTCATTAGTAGCATTTCTTTGCTGTTAGGTACTAAAAAAAGAAAAATCCTAATTACAGCTATATATAAAATCAATTAATTTGTGTTCATTATTTTAAGAATCTGTGATTATCACATAAGACGTATGAAATTTATCTTCCACTTCGCTAATAAAAAAGGAAACAAATTCAGGGAGGTTTAAATGGAAAAGAATTTGCTGTTTGGTCATCTTCAAATTTTCAAGTATATTTATTTATAATTGCTATAGTTATGTATGTTTTTCTTTGTTAATGAAAACAGATTCCTTCAAGACTTCCCCTGGAAAAATGCTTAATTTTAATACTTGATGGCTAAAAAAAATTTTTTGAAAGTAAATGATTCTCTTCTTCCCAATTAACCCAGGAATCTTTAGATGATTACCAAACATATTATTATTGAATGCCATGTAATTTGGAAGAAAGACTGAACCTGGAATCTTAAGACTTTTATCCTATTTTGAGTTCTACTTCTGACAGAGTAGTATAACTAGGATTAACTCCCTTCACATCTCTGGATTTCCATTTCTTTATAAGATAAAATCTTGAATCTTAACTTGTATATACATACAGGGGGGCTTTTTATTGATGTCTGTTTTAAGATAGGATTTTTTAAAAAATTCATTGGGATTTTTTTTTTTTCTGGGCTTAAGTTCTTTTCTTATATTTCCAGATCGGGAAAAATTTGTTCAGACCTTAATACATAATAAGTATAATACAAACCTCTTATATGGCTGGACTGTCTCACCCTGAAATCCATCCTTTACAGGAAGCAGAGTCATCTTCCTTTGGACAACTCTGGGCATGTCACCCATATTCTTACCTTCAGTTATTCCTTCATACATACATAATAAAAATTAAAATCTTTAATGCTATATCCAAGATCCTCTCAATGTGACTCCAACCCATTTTTCTAACCTTTGCCTTTCACTGCATACCTGTACCCTACCTCCTTGCAAATGCATTGTTCTACTTATTCCCCTGGAGATGCTCCACACTTGGCTGCTTCTCATGCAGTGTTCATTCTGCACCCTCCACCTAACTTTCCTCCCGTCACCACCACCCATTCATCTCCATTTTCATTGGTTAAATCCTACCTTAATATCTAAAATGATCATCTACCACTTTCTCTCTGAAGCCTTCAATATCTTCCGCACCTCTGTGCTCATGTTGCTCTCCCTGCTACATAGCTGCACGTCAGCTTCCCCTATACAGGATGAATTGCTTGAAAGCAAGGACCATGTGATACACCTTCATATCCCTTTAAACTTCAAATAGGAGCCACTTAGAAGGTATTTGTTGAATTGAGAGATTTGGGGGGACAGGAACGGGGGAGATAACATTTATCACACAAATGATTAAGTCATATTTCCCTCCTACCTTAAGAGTAATTGTTGGGTCAGTAATATTTCTGATTTCATGAAGTTCTTTGCCATATTAAATGCTTAACTTCATTTTTAAAAGATCACGTGTGTTTAAACATCATTTTTATAATTTTTAAGAAATAGGTTAGCTATTCCACAAAATCTAGAATTTGATAGTTGTTAAAAATATAAAATTTGATTAGTTGATTGATAGTTAATATGTGCTTACAGTATTCATTTCAGAGTGTATATGGAAATTATGTCACTATTTGGCCTTCATTAATACTATAAAAATGCACATTTTTATCCATTCGAGTGTTTTATTATTTATGAATTTGGAGGAATACATGATTATTTTTCTCTCCCCATACTTTACCTCCAACAGGCTGCTGTGATTATCAACAGCAGCAGGAGCCACTTTGAAGGTTTGATAAAAGCAGATGAAGATGCTTAAAGATGCCTGTTTGCTGAAAATATCTGTAACAAACAGGAATATATGTGAGTAAATATAGTGTGTTATTCTGATTTTTAAAATAAATGTTTTAAAATGCCTTAATTGATGATTGTTAAGGGTTTTGTTTTGTCCTGGTATGGTTTTTAGTAAGATGCTAATAAATTCGGAAGTGATTTTTAAAAATCTTTACTTTTCACAGCTGAAATAGAAACTGGCTTAATTTAGGACATTGCGTTTGAGATATTTACACTAGCCAAAAGGATGCTTATACTTCATCACCTTAATTTTTATTTTATGGATATTTCCTAGTAACCCAGTTATTCTCTGACTAAAAAGGATGGCTAACTAATAGTTCAGTGACGGATGTGCTCACTGGCTGAAGATAGAAGAAGAAAATAAAATTGAAATTACTTTAAACAGTGAAGTAGTAGTCCCTCTTTTTTGATATCATGCTCTACTTTTATTTCTATGATACTATTTCCTCTTGACTCTCATCCTATATTTCTAATTGCTCCTTGTCAGTCTCTATTTTCTTTGCTGTTTTCTACATTTCTTTGCTGTCAAGTCCTTAAATTTTGGTTCTTCAGTGTTCTGTTTTAGCCCCCCTCCTGATTTTCATTCTCCCACTAGGAAGAGCCACACACTTCTGTGAGTTCAGCTACTACAGTTAGGCTGGCAATTCCCAAACATGTAATTGGCACTCAATAAATGGTAGATATTATCATTGTTTGTATTTCTCGTCCTTACTCATTTTTCAAGTGTTAATCATGTTTTCTCAATTGCCAAGTATACATCTCCACCAGAATGGCCCACAATCCTTGTGAACTCAAATTTCTCAATATTAGATCAATATTTTTTTGCAGCAATTCTCCCTCCCCTATCCTTTCAAATCTGCTGTTTCTCCCACATTCTCTGTTGCTGTAGATATCCAGTATTGCAGCCAAGAAACCTCAGGGTCATTCATGTCTTCGCATTGGTTTTCTTTACTTATTTATCCAAAATGCTTAAATCCAATTATAAAAAAGAAAACTACAGACTAATATCTCTTATGAACATAGATGCAAAAATTCATGAGCAATTCATACTCATTAGGATGGCTATTGTTAAAAAACAAACAGAAAATAAGTGTTGGTGAGATTGTGGAGAAATTGGTACCCTTGTGCATTGCTGGTGGGAATGTAAAATGGTACGGCTGCTGCGCAAAACAGTATGAGAGCTCCTCAGAAAATTAAACATAGAATTACTATATGATTCCAGCAATTCTACTTCCAGGTATATACCCCAAAGAAAGCAGAAACCTGAACAGATATTTGTACAGCAATTTTAATGGCAGAATTATTTACATAGCCAAAAGGTGAATACAACCCAAATGTCCACTGATGGATGAAAGGATAAAATGTGTTATGTACATACAATGGAATCTTTAAAAAGGAAGGAAACAGGTGCAATGACATGGATGAAACTTAAAAACATGCTGAATGAAATAAAGAAGG